AATGTGTTCAGTGCAGATCAGTGAGTAAGCACAAGCTGCCTGTGCTTAACTCGCTCCTGGTTACTAAGCACAAGCCCGCCCATGCTTACCTCGCTCCCGGGGACTAAGCACAAGCCCGCCCGTGCTTACCTTGCTCCCGGAGACCTGGTCCCTCTCGGGAGGGTAACAAGGGAAAGTGTTCAGTGCAGATCAGTGATAAAATTCCAGGTATTTTATAGGAGTTTCACCAACGAACTCTTGGGTTTGCAGACATTTTTGTCTTTTTTTTTTTAATAATATTTGATTGTGTTTTAGGTGAATGTTTACACAGCAAATTAGGTGAGGGTGCCATTTAACGATTTTTATACAGATTGTTCCATTACATTGATTACAGTTTTCACAATGTGTCAGTCTTCTCATTATTTCTATTCTGTTTGCTCTGTTTCCCTTAATCTAGCTTTCTTTCCTCTCCTTGCTTTCTCATCTTTGCTTTCAGGTAAATGTTGACCATTTGATCTCATATAGTTGATTAAGGGAGAACATTATTCATAGGTGATACTGCTTATTTTATAAACTGATCTGTGATTTGGCTGAAAGGTGATCTGCAGAAAAAGCTTCAGTTCCAAGTTCAAAGTGTATCTTAGGGCAATAGTCTCAAGGGTTCCTTTAGTCTCTATCAGTCAGTAGGTCTGGTCATTTTTAGGAGTTTGAATTTTGTTCTATATTTTTCTCCCTTTCTATCTGGGACCTTCTATTTTCTCCCTGGCTGGAATGGTCAACTGTGGTAACAAGGCACCATCTAGTTCTTCTGGTTTCAGTTTAGAAGAGGCTATGGTTTATGTGGGGTATTACTCCTGTGGACTAGTTTCTTTTTTGGGCCTTTGTTTTCCTTCATTCTCTTTTGCTCCATATGAGTTTAAACCAATAGTTATATCTTAGTTAGCTGCTCATAACATTTTAACCCCAGATCCTACTCATGTCTGATTTTTCTGTAATGAAAGCATTTATAATTCTGTATTATATGGCCATTGATAAAAGTCTAGATTCTGAGTTTTGTTTAGAAGATTGCATATCTATGATGTAATATGATTTTCAATTTTGCTTTGCCACTGTTGTGGCATCTAGAGCAAGAAGGGAAAGGAGTGGTTAAAGGTGAAATAAGCTGAATGCTTGCTTTCAATATAGTTTAGGTTTAGCCTGAGGTCTTTGAGAAATAGCACCCAATTTATTTAATTCCTGTTAATATTGCTTTTAGTCTGGAGGCAATGGCTGATGTAAGAGGCCTCTTTTTTGCTTTTCAGTGAAGTGCTGGCTGAGGAATCCATATTATGTCTCCAGAAAGCCCTGAATCACCTTCGGGAAATATGGGAATTAATTGGGATTCCAGAGGACCAGCGGTTACAAAGAACTGAGGTTGTGAAGAAGCATATCAAAGTGAGTTATTGAAGTGAGATATCAAAGCATATCAAAGTGAGATATAGCAGTACTGGTATGTTTGTGGTGGGATAGGGGTAAGCATGTTGGTGACTCATCTGAGAATATCTGGAAGTGATCACCACTTCCAGATCACCAGGACGAGAACACAACAGGCCATTTCTTTCTGTGTGTTTGTTTTCTTTTAAGGCCTTTCTTGAAATTATTAATTTAAAAAGTCCTTTCTTAAGATTATGGGGGGCTTGGTATTGTTGGTTGATGGGTCTTTTTGGTTGGTTGGTAGGTTTTTTTCCTTGATCCCATACTTTTATGGGATTGTTCTCTCTTGTAGGATCTCCTGGATATGATGATTGCTGAAGAGGAAAGCCTGAAGGAACGGCTCATCAAAAGCATTACGATATGTCAAAAAGAGCTGAATACCTTGTGCAGTGAGTTACATGTTGAGCCGATTCAGGTACATCTCAAGCTTATAGATCTCAGAGAAACCGGTGTGCATTAGGAAGGGGTTTGATTTGGAGCTAAGATCCAGATAAATATGGGTGATCTCCTTGTAGGAGTGATGCTGGACAGGAAGAATGGGGAAAGCTTGCCAACTAGTTAATTATTCAGGCAAAGTAATTTTCACATATGTAAAGATTTGCCACTGTTGAGAGGTAAAGCAGCAAATAGGTGTTGTAATTCTTTGATCAAAAACAAGCTTCATCTTGCTGTCAATTTTGTAGGGCATATTAATTTTTTTTTTTAAACTCTGAGGAAAAGCTAGGAACAGATGGTGCTGTTCTATTTTTTTCTCTGAAAGAAAATGAAAAGAGCTACCCAAGAAGCAAAAATGATCAGTGATAAGAAAGGTTAACCAAAAAGCCTGCCTTTGCAGGCCTTGTTATTAACCAGCAGCTGTGGCCAGATAGTGACACACCACTAACCCAGCCACAGTGGCTACTTCAGAAGACATGTCTAAAGCTGGAGTGTCAGGAAAGCATAGTCAAGTTCAGAGCGTGCCATGATTATTTGTATATATAGCTGAGAGTTTGCTATATTGTGATCTAAGGGCCCCCAAACAGTTCTGGTTAGAACCAATAAAAGTAGTGTCAGGATCATAAAATTCAGACAAATGTGGAGCTTGGAAAGGTAATTAGACTAGATGTGAGTGCAGGGACAGCACATGCTGGCTGGGTTGTACCAGTGAAATTCTTGGGTCTTTCTCCCTGACACAGGAAGAGCTGGCTGGATAGCTAGATAGAATCAGCCTAGGAAGGAGAAGACAGCCATGAAAAGGATAATTCATACCTGGCAGTCAAGAGCAATAGGTAGACTGTGACTTCAGTAGAGTGTTCTGGACATTACCAGAAATGACATAAATATAATTGATTTTGGATCCCAGGTTTCTCTTTCTCTAGTTTTTTGTTTGCTTGCTTTTATTTTTAAACCTTCAATGTGAAATTGGGTGAGAAGTTAGGTGTATAGTGGTACATAAATTACATCAAAGGTCCTACTTTAGCTACCAGTGTTGAATAAAAAAGTGTAACCTACTAGGATATACAACTATCACTTTTTTGTTTTCTATTTACTATAGTAGTATTAAATTGATTCGTAGCATGAGCATTTAGCTATAAGCTAGATATACTACCCTACAACTAAGCAAAGCAAGCTTTGCAGCTAATTTTCACCTCTTTCAGAAGTGCCCTGGTACCTGGTATGTTTCTTTATTGGAGACCTTGAGGAACCCTCTTAGTGGCATATTCATTGGCCATTGAGTGACTTATTTGTAAAACCGCTTTCATTTGGCCCCCTTCCATTCTCCTTCTCTTCCTTTAAAGAAGTTCACTTGGAGTATTATAGCAGTGGTACATTGTCTCACACAGGAAGAAGGAGAGACAACCATCTTGCAACTAGAAAAGGATTTGCGCACCCAGGTGGAATTAATGCGAAAACAGAAAAAGGAGAGAAAACAGGAACTGAAACTACTTCAAGAACAAGATCAAGAACTGTGTGAAATTCTTTGCATGCCCCCCTATAACACTGACAGCACCTCAGTCCCCAGCTTAGAAGAGCTGAACCAGTTCAGACAACACGTGGCAACTCTGAGGGAGACAAAGGTATATTGATTATATTCATAATTCTTAAAAGACAATTTGGCTTTCCTCTAGAAATCTTAGAATTATTTTTTCTTATAGGCATCTAGACATGAGGAGTTTGTCAATGTAAAGAAACAGATCATACTATGTATGGAAGAATTGGATCACACCCCAGACACAAGCTTTGAAAGAGATGTGGTTTGTGAAGATGAAGATGCCTTTTGTTTATCTTTGGAGAATATTGCAACACTACAAAAGTTACTACGGCAGGTAATGTCTTCTTGAATGTGGCCTGCAACCTGCATAGTACATAGCAATATGAAAAACTGACAATTTTTTTCTTAGGCATTTTGAAAAAGAGTCAGAATAGATTTAGAAAGTGAGTGAGGATAAAGATAGGAATATGTATGTGATATCTACAAATATTGCTTTCTAACAAAAAAATTTTATATGTAGCTCTAAGAGTATGAAATTTAAATCTGGATGAAAAATATTAGTCATTTGAATTAGCCTAGTGTTTAATTGAGAAAGAAAAAAATTCAGAAAATGAATACTCTTCTTAGGGTCTGAGACCCTGCCATAATGACAGCTTTATGATTTATGTTCAGAAGTCATGAAAACACAGCTTTTCACATTTGTGAGTGTTTCCTTTCCACCTGGGTCTAGACTTTTTTTATGTGGGAAGCCTGCTCTGTGATGCCATGCTGTGAGTAACCACTGCCTTTCTCTGTTGCAGCTGGAAATGCGAAAATCACAAAATGAAGCTGTGTGTGAAGGGCTACGGGCTCAGATCCGAGAGCTGTGGGAAAGGTTGCAGATACCTGCAGAAGAGAGAGAAGCAGTGGCCATGATTATGACTGGGTCCAAGGCCAAGGTCAAGAAAGCGGTGAGAAACCCAATAGGCAGTAGTCATCTAAGACTGTTTCGTACCAAGTCTGAGGTTACCAGCTTCTGTCTTGGGCCAGCCTATTTTTAAGAAATGTCAGAAAAGAATGGCAGTAGCCTGCTCTTCTTTTATCTTCTGTGTACTTTCCTTAGATTTCTGGCTCTTGTAATATATTGTCTTTATAGAGAGTGTTGATTCACCTCTGTGGCTTTGTGTTCTAATTTTATTAAGGCTGTGGGGCAGGGTGGGGCAGCTGTTGCAAACCTAAGGTGAATATGAAAGTGTTGACAAGCACCTTTAACTGATCTCTTCCTTTCAGTTGCAATTAGAAGTGGATAGGTTGGAAGAACTGAAGATACAAAACATGAAGAAAGTGATTGAGGCAATTCGAGTGGAGCTGGCTCAGTATTGGGACCTGTGTTTTTACAGCCAGGAGCAGAGACAAGCTTTTGCCCCTTATTATGCTGGTCAGTAGAGAAGTAGTAGTCTTTGTGTAGCCTGCTCTCCCTCTTTCTTTCTTTCTTAATTAATTAATTAAAGTGTAGACATTCACCAGAAGTATTTTCTTTTCTGAACTGATACAGCTCCCTGTTCAAATCATTCAGTGTAAATTTGCCACTCCTGTGAAAATAAGCATTTGCAAATGCTATTGGGAAATATAGGCTATTTGCTTTCTGAAGCAATATATCACTGTATCCTGTAGCTGTAAAGTTCAAGTTTATTAAGTGCTTACACTGTACCAGATTCAATGACAAACCTTACCAGTATTATCTCAGTTAATTCCTATGTCAAGAGATGAAGACACTAAGGCACATAAAGGTTGAGCAATTTAAACCAGAAGCACATAACAAGTAAACAGCAGAGTCCACATCTGAGCCTAGGAAGTGTGACCCTTAGAGCCCAACAGAATTCTACTTTGACCTAAATTAGGTATATTAGAGGAGGCCATCCTAGCTAAATTTAACAAAGGTTTTTAGACATTTTTGGCCTCTATTGGCTGGATAGAGTGGAAAGGAAAAATATAAGACAAGGCAAGAGATGACACTCATTTTTGAGAATATTAATCATTTTAACCTATACCTAAGTCCTTTGGTCCCTTTTTCCCCCAGGCTTGATATGTTCAATTTTCTTTTTTCCATGACTTCAGTCATCAAAGGCATGCGATAATATGTCGTTTTGTTGTCAGTGCACTAGAAGGCTGAGGAATTGGGAACACCCTCAGTCATTCTGACCCAGTGTTGGCACTGTGCTTGTTTGTGGATTTATGAAGTACTCTAGTGGTAGCCCTTTCAGATACTGAGGGTTTAGGCCATCTAAGGGGTCACTATGAATCAGAACTGACTCCATGCCATCTAACAACAGGGCATATTATTTGTGCTATGAGAAGGCAGAAAGAGGGTGACTCATGGTTTGTACTTTGTTGTTAGATGTCGTCAATTAGGTTCCAACTCACAATGACCCTATGTACAGCAGAATGAAACACTGTCCAGTCCTGTGCCATCTTCACAATTGTTGCTGGGCTTGGGCCCATTGTTGCAGCCATTGTATCAGTCCGTCCCATTGAGGGTCTTCCCCTTTTTTGCTGACCATTTACTTTACCAGGGATGATATTCTTCTCCAGGGACTTGTCTCTTCTGACAACATGACCAGAGCTCATGAGACAAAGTCTTGCCATTCTTGCTTCTAATGACCACACTGGCTATATTTCTTCCAAGACGGATTTGTTTGTTCTTCTGCATTCCATGGTATTTTCAATATTCTTAGCCAATACCACAATTCAAATGCTTCAGTTCTTCTTTGGTCTTCCTTATTCACTGTCCAGCTTTCACATGCATATTAGAGTATTGAAAGTACCATGTCTTGGGTCAGGCATACCTTAGTCTTCAAAGTGACATCTTTGCTTTTCAACACTTTAAAGAGGTCTTTTGCAGTAGATTTGCCCAGTGCAATATGTCATCTGATTTCTTGACTGCTGCTTCCATGGATGTTGATTGTGAATCTGAGTAAAATGAAATCCTTAACAACTTCAGTCTTTTCTCCATTTATCATGATGTTTCTTGGTCCAGTTGTAAAGATTTTTGTTTTCTTTATTTTGAGGTGTAATCCATACTGAAGACTAGTCTTTGATCTCCATTGTAAGTGTTTCAAGTCTTTTTCACTTTCAGCAAGCAAGGTGGTTTCATCTGCGTATCACAGGTTGTTAATAAGTCTTCCTCCAATTCTGATGCTGTGTGTTCTTTGTGGGTTTTTTTTTTTTTTAAATGTGATTTGAGTGAAAGCATAGAGCAAATTCCTTTTCCTTTTAACAGTTCATACACATTCTGTTTCATGACATTGATTGCAGTTCCCACAATATAATAGCTCTCTTCTCACTTTCCCCCGTGTTTTCCTTTTCCTTGTATCCTTCTTTCCAATCCATTCCTTCTTGCCCTCTTAGCTATCTCCCTATGCAAATGCTGTCCTTCTAATCTCCCATGGTTGGTTGTTCTAAGTAATGTACCTACCTGGTGTAATTGTTCACCTTGTAGGCCTGTTGTTTGGCTGAAAGTTAAGCCAAGGGAGTGAGTTCTGTTCCAGGACCAAAGGGTGACTAGGGGCCATAGTCTTGGGGGTTTCACTAGTCTCCAGAAAGCCTGGTCCTTTTTATGATTTTGAGTTTTGTTCCCCATTTTTCTCTCAATCTATCCAGAATCTCCAATTTTGATCCCTTTCTGAGTGGTTGGTAGTGGTAGCCAGGTACCATCTAGTATTTCTGGTCTCAGAGTCATGTAGGCTGAGGTTCACATGGCCTACTAGTCCCTTGGACTGATTGTTTCCATATGTCTTTGATTTTCTTCACTGTTCATTGTTCCAGACCTTTTAAGCTGCTCACAAGCTTTTAAGGAGTACGTGATGATATTGATATGTCTTATTTCTAGTGATGATAACTCTGATTACTTGGTTAAGGTGGTGTCTTTTAGGTTTCTCCACTATAGTTACTCTTTTTTCCCCTTATAATAATTATCTCGTGGGAAGCCACTATGAGATAATTAAGTATGCTGATACTTCATACACTAATTTTCTTATCCGTCCATGGTTCATGCCTGCAAAAGTTATTTTTAGTGTTTGCCTAATAGTGACTGTTCTGGTTACCTAGTGCCGCTCTGACAGAAATATGCCACAAATGGGATGACTTAACCAAACAAGAGTTTATTCTTAGAATTTGGAGGCTTTAAGTCCAAGTTCAAAGTGCCAAGCACCCTCGGCCTTGGGCTTCAACTCTGCCTCCAGTTCCCGGCCCACTGAAGCTAGAGGCTTTTCTTCACTCAGACAGCTGCTGGCTGCTAAGGCTGCCAAGCCCAAGGTTGACAAGTAAAAAGGCACAATCTCGTTATTACCAAATCACACAGCAGGCCATTAATTCAAGTCCATTGTAAGTCTCAGGGTCGGCAGAGCATGGCAGGCTGCTGAACAATGACATGGCTACATGCAGAGTTCAAGGTGCCATAAGCTAGAGACCATTCCCAAAGCTGCTTCTTATATACGGGAAGCAGACCACATACCCAAAGTAGCTACTGAGCTTCTTGTGGTAGATCCCACCATGGAGCTGATTGCCATTCTCATCATGGGGAATAACTACCACCAGCTGCCCAGCCATTCAACCAGGCCCAGCCAAGTTGACACAAAAACATAACCACCACAATGACTTTCTGTTTCCCTCATTTCTTCTGCATTTATTCTACTATCAGGAAGAGCTGGCCTTTCTCTCCTTTATTTATTCATATTAGTATGGATCCATGGATATTTTATTCTGTGGATTATAATCTAATAGGATTATTATTTATTTTGTTGCTCAAATTATTCTGATAGCTTTGCCCATTGGGAGCTCCTTCATGTTGACTACTATGTCCTTTCTACATGTCCTCATCATTTTTCAAGCATTTCCATACTTTCTAGAATCATAAGATGGTCCACACTCTGTATTTTCCCTGCTCCAGTCCTGGAATCAACTGTTTCTCCAAAGAGTCTTGGTTCCTTTTATTGACCAATGATACTTAAAAGTCAAGATCTGGGTGCTAGGTGTGCTGCTCTGGTGTCATTGCTTATAGGCTCTCAGCTGATAGAGCTAGGAATTATATATCTGTATATCTGTATCTATAGTAGTATATAGTGCCTAAGGCACTTGACTGCTAACCAGAAGGCTGACGGTTCAAACCACCAGCCATTCCTTGGAAGGAAAGTTGGGCAATCTACTTCCGTAACGATACTGCCTTGGAAACCCAAGGAGGGGTCACTATGAGTTGGGTCTGACTCAACGGCACCTAACAACAACAATAACAGACACATAGATACACTAACACACGTGCATAGCAGTCTGTATTTATTTCTGTGCCTGTCTTTGTATGATTCTTAATACTTCTATTCCAATTCAATCCATTACCATCAATCATTTTAGCATGTTTCCTTTCCTGATTTATAATTTTCCTGATGATGAGAAACCTGACTCCCATTCACTATACACACACACACACACACACACACTTATTCATGTATCATTTTTATTATCAGGAAAAATCATTTTTGGGAAGTGTTCATAAATTGGGATAGTAAATGCTAGAGGGGTTTTTTAAAGTACTGGGTCTATATTTTGCAGAGGACTACACAGAAAATCTGCTACAGCTCCATGATGCTGAGGTTGTGCGGTTAAGAAACTACTATGAACTCCACAAGGAACTCTTTGAAGGTGTTCAAAAGTGGAAAGCAAGCTGGACGCTTTTCCTAGAGTTTGAGGTATGGCCCTAGTTTTTATTTGTCTATTTTTGTTTTCTCTGGAGTCAAATGAAGTGTTAAGAAAGCGTGCCCTGTATAGAATCAGAGTCCAGTTTCCTTTGCTCTTTATCAGGTTTCTAAAACCCTGATTTTATCACTAAGTCTCTATGAAATATGCTAAACCATAAGAAAATTTAAAAAAAAAAAATTATGGCTTACTTAAATAAGATAGAATTTTTTGCATAAAGGGAGTCCAGAGGTAGGCAGTCCATATGCTCTGGAGTGTTCCCATCCCACTCCCTTGCTGTGGAACACGTGGCTGTGGTAGGTAGGGTGGCAGTTCCATGTGGTCAGCAGGGTCCCAGGCTTCTTCAGCACCAGGACCTCATCTTCAGGTCCAGTATTGGCTAGGGCTCCCACACTTGAGGTAATGTGATAGCACTGCCCCCTCCAACACACACACACTTCAAGACTCTTCCCAGAACTGCTTCACAGCTCCTCTGTTTACACAGCACACCAGCTGCTGGGGAATCAGGGAGAACTGGTGCCCCGGATAAATTCTGGGTTCTATTACTAAGGAAGAAGAGAAGAGTGAATAGTAAGGCAGGCAACTAACATTCTCTGCCATTCAACTTTTGCCATTTTCTTGTAAAACTGCCTGAGTACTGGGCCATATTTGAATACTCTGAATTCCTTTTCTTCTGATGGAGACGTAGCATGGAAATGTTCTTATGGAGCATTTTGGAGCTCAGGGCTGGGGCTAGGGTGAAGCTGGTGAGGCACCTAGGGCTCTAAATGAGAAGATCCTCTTTTTCAGGTTAATGTCAACCCTATTAGAGCTTGAAGAGGCCTTTAGAGAATCCTTGGTTCAACCCCTTCAAGTTTATAGGTGGGGGAAACTGGGACTCAGAAATGGATAAGGCTGTGAAATCTTACAGCCCTTTAAGATCAGATGTCCTAATCCTCAGTTATTCCCTCCTTCCAGTTGAAAACAAATAGGTGTAGTAACATCAATAAACAGCCAAATAAGCACCTTCTTGTTGACATGCCAAGATTTAAAAAAAAGAATCACTAGCTACTGGTTTTTTGTTTTTTTTTTTTCACTAGTTACTATTTTATAGGCAGTTACCAAGTAAGCAAGCAGTCTTTTTTTTTTTTTTTTTTTGCAGTTACCAAGTAAGCAAGCAGTCTTTTTTTTTTTTTTTTTT